AGACCAGAGGCAGCGCCACATATACCAGAGGCAGCGCTACATATACCAGAGGCAGCACCACGTCAGCATGCTACGTAGACCAGAGGCAGCGCCACGTCAGCATTGTCTGGCGCACTGAGAAAGCGCCAGCGTGCTACCTCCCCTTCGTGCCGTCGCCCGCAGCGCCTGTGCACAGCCAGCATGTAGCCAGCGTCTAGCCAAAGTCGAGCCAGCATCAAAGTAGCATAGCAAGACTGAATGCTTGACTCGCTCGAGGCCAGCCTTAAGTAGCAGCCGTCGAGGCTGTCTGGCCTCGGGTGCTTTCCTCCAGTCGTCCAGATTGACTCACATCTCAAGGCCCGAATTGTACAGTTGCAGACTTCTCCCTTGGACCTGATGCTGTCTGGGTACCTGCATACAAACAAATGTGTGTGCTTGACCTGCGGCCTGGGCTAGGTGCCTTTGGACTTTGACTGCTGGGTGGACCGACAGTTGACCGAAGTCAACTGTCACACGCCCAGGCGCTGAATTCGTGAAGGGCCTTTTCTGCCCTTATTCGGCCTGGGCTGAGGGCGGCCAAGTAGGCCTTCTGATGGCCCTCAGTTCCACGAGACATATGGCATGGGTTATTGCATCTGACACAATCGGCCTTGAACTACGCCGCCACTCAAGCACACACCGTTCGACGGCGATTGATTGATGGCCGCAACACAGTATTTCGGCCCCAAATACGAATCCCACAGAGAACCACATGTCCATCACCTAGGCCCGTACACATTTCGCTCGAAACCTCCTCCTCGGGCAATCGTGGCACTTAGTATCGAAATCTGAAGGCCAGAAGTCGCCGAAAAGAAAAATTATCGGCGCGCAGCGTTCTCTCCACGGCCCACTTAGCTTTAGGAGTTTGTTGTAGATACTCACATGCATAGACATGTGCCCACAGTTTTGGGGTATGGCGTGGCCCCGATTTTCCTCCCTCTTGCTTTCTGATTGCTAGAATCGAGGGGAATGTTTGGCCACCCCACAGTCCTTTCACTTGTTTGCATGGGTCCTGGGGACCATCTCACGCAAGAGTGTACATGTCATGCATCATACGTACACAATGATCAGAAGACTCACACATTAGACAAAGGTAGATGAGAAGAGAACCGAGTTACACAGCTTATATTATCAAAAATATGTTTACAAAGAGTTTCATAGTTCCCTGAGTCCAGCGCTCATCAGCGCAGTGCCAATCTCTCTTCCAACTCAACCGGATGGCTTCTACACATCAGCGCCACCTCTGCATATCAAATCCAACTCAGGTAAGTATCTTTCATAGCCCAACCTTAGTCTTCTCTCCTCCTACGATGCATACTCACTCTTCCCTCACTAGGATCTACTCTGAATGCTACTCATAGCTGATTACTACTAACCCTCTTCTACTACTACTAACTCGCTGGGCAGCTATGGCTGCATCTCACTCCAGCGCACAGTCTTCTTCTCTCACATAGCGCATCTTCATCCTCCAGCGCTGCTCCTCCTGACTGGCGCACAAGTGCATCAGCACTTCCACGCACAGAATGCCAGTGGAGATCTGGCGTGCAATGAGGCTGGCTGCTTCCTTTATAGTGCTGGCCTGTACACGCTGGGTCTGCATTGGCTGCTTCAGGCCTTCCTTTGTCCCAGACCCTGCATTGCATGTGTCCCAGTACTTGTCCCAATGAAGTTAACTGCTGCTGAGGCCTCTCGGCCTAGATTTGGACTTGGATATCTGGATCTGGACTGTCCCCTCGACTTAGACCAGAACTGGGATTCTGCTTATTGTCTGACTTCCGAACAGGCACAACTTTGGACGAACAGACACTCATCCTGTGTGAATAGACACTTTCATTTGCACGAACAGACACTCTGACTGCACGTACAGACACACCCTTATCTGAACAGACATGACACATACATCACTTGGCGAACAGGTATGTCTTTCAGCAATAACCTTTGGCACTAACTTTTGGCTTAGATTTAGATGTGTCCTTTGATAGAGAACTCGCCCGTTGGTCTGCTTTCTCGTGTCCTGGGTCCTGGCGAGATACCCCTTCACGCTGCTTTACTTTTATGAGGCCTGTATCGGGTATCAGGTGAAGGCCCTTTTATGTTTTTTTTTTTTTTTTTTTTTTTTTTTTTTTTTTTTTTTTGTGATGTGCCGCATCACATGCGCGAGCGTGCATGGGCTCTGTGCCGGACGTGCCGCACCCCCCACACGGGATGCACCGCAAGTATGTTGAAAACATTCCACTACGATTAGGAGAGCACAACAGGGAAAATGTGAGAATCAAATGACAAGACAGGAACCAAATAAGAAGACACATACCCTGTTCCGAAGCTTGGCATAGTACACAGTTCCAAAAGCCCCTTGTCCAATCTTGTTAGCAGTGCTGAAGTTATCTGTCGCATTTGCCAGCTCGTTGTACGAGAACACGATCATCCTATCTGGCTCCTCAAAGCCAGCCACATTCGATGCTGGATAATTTTCCACATTTCAACAAAGCCACAAGATCACCACGATAACAAGAATTTATGCAGCATTACTCAGCTGAGGGCTCACAACTTTGACAAATATTAGCACAAGAAAAGTTATGAATAAGAAGAACATTCTCGTCAGAATCCAAGGTTTACCAGTCCAACGTCAAGCTTCAGAGTTCAAAGTGCTGTTGCAGTGCCTCTTTCCCATGAGCAACCACTCTCACAATGAGAATGGGAATTCCTCAGTGCTGGCCAAACCCACAAGGAATTGATATAGCCACTTTGGAGGCCTGCAAAAGACCATGAGGCCCATAAGACGCCCCACACTCACAGGTCAAACATAAGCCAGCGAGAGGGTTTTCTGATCAAACACTTAATTTCGGGTTGCCATAGGCATACAGAAACTTGGCAATCCTACACACCCCTGTATGCACAAGCGTACAGTAAAACAGCACAGGAGACTATAGAGCTTACGCTGCGCAGTCCATTTCCAGACCAAGTACAGCTTCGGACGGAGACAAACAGAGTTCAGGAAGGCCAGGGGCCATGCTAATCTTCCCTGTATCCTTCCAATTTCAGCGGATAGCAAGGAGGACACAATCACATTTTCTATTTTCTTCTCTTCTTTATTTTTTCAAATTAACAACTGCTCTTCCTTGTCTAGAGCCTCCACAAAGCAATGGCTCTGTCAAGTTGGTGCTTAAACCACCAGTACATGGCCCCAGCTAACTTGACAATCATGATTGATCACTCCGAAAAAATCAGCAGCTCGGGGCAACCGGACCAAAACGGCTGGCAGCACCAGCCGAAACTGAAAACAAAACGCCACGGTGGTGTTTCGGCAAAGCTTGGCGCGAAGGGGGATTCCAGGCTCGTGAATTTAACCTCAGATGTACTGGTTCTGTAAATTGGTGGAGTCTGCAGTGCGCTTCAGGTGTGTTAGGTCCATATTGAGGGCTGGTAAGGTTTTGCGAGTTGTATCGAGTTTAACAGCGATTCGAAGAGGAAGAAGGAGAGGAGACACATCAGCAAGGAGAAGAAAGGCGAAAAAGAAAATGGAAATGCAAGAAACACAATGAGTGCAAAGGGAAAACAGAAAGGGAGAGGACGTGTGAGATGAAAAGGAGAGGGAGAGGAGACACATCAGCAAGGAGAAGAAAGGCGAAAAAGTAAATGGAAATGCAAGAAACACAATGAGTGTAAAGGGAAAACAGAAAGGGAGAGGACGTGTGAGATGAAAAGAAGAGGACATGTGAGATGAAAAGGAGAGGACATGCGAGACAAAAACAGAAAGAGAAAGCACAGGGACAGAAGACAAGGAAAAGGGCAAAGGAAAGGGGGCGGAAAAGGAACCACTACAAGGGCAAGAGGAAAGGAGAGCGAATAGAATGGGGAAAAAGAAAGGAAAAGGAAGCCAAGAGAGTTCACTGGTTTATTTTCCTTCTGGGGAGGTAATGGAGAAGGGGGGAAATTTTCGAAAACCGAACATGCTTCCTGAAACGATTGCATATGCCACACTGTGAAATAAGGATCTAAGAGAACGGAACAGTTCACAGAGATATACGTTAGTGGCAATTAGACATGGAGTTTGCAACTGGTCATGAAGGATTCATAATAGCCAACAGGTTTTTGCAGAAAAACATTTAACAATGACCCTGCCGCACAGCCATCTGTCTCCTATTGAGTCTGTAAGAAGTGCAATAAACCCACCAATGGCTTGCAACATATAAAAAACATGGGAAAAGAACACAGGCTACTGTACTGTAGGAACAGAGGCCATGCTAATGAGTTGTATTCAAATCCCGTATAAGAATCACACAAACTGAAGAGCATGTACATACAAGCAGGGTTGCATACCCGCCAACAACCGACCCCGACCGCCGACCGTTTGCAGCTAACCAGTAGGGCCGACTGGTCGGTGGTCTCCCGACCAGTCAGTAAACAGCCCTCCACTGATTTTTATTTTAATCTGCCTATGGGGCCGTACTGCGCTTGACGAGTAAAGCACAAATCTGCTGAGAAACTTTTGGGGATAGGCAGGATTACGAGGGGCTATGCGGGGGGTATGGGGGGGTTATGGGGGGTTATAGAGGGGTATGGGGGCGTACAGGGGGTATTTAGGGGGGGTATGAGGGTGTTGGGGGGGGCTTTAGAGGTGCTAGGGCGTTGGTGGGGTTATTTGGGGTAATGGACCCCCCAAGAAAAAGAAAAAAAACCTTTTTTTTTTTTTTTTTTACTGGGTGCCAACAACCACAGACCAGTAGGTGCCGACCAATGGACGGGCGCCGACCGTCGGCCTCTGCAACTCTCCATACAAGCATGGAAAAGTTTATAATTGTTTGTGCATCAGTGATGTTTTTTTTTCCATGTATTCTTTGTCTCACATGGTGTATACGAAAGCGCTCATTGTGCCTCTCGGCGAGTATTTGTCATGTTTTAGGATATTTACATCCCAATGCTTTGCTGCCTTTCACACTTAGAGCAGGAAATCTGTTTATCACTGATTGACATCTAGAGGGGTGCCGTCCACGGCAGGCCTCCACCAGGGGACACCCAGAAAAATTAAGCCCAGCCCTAAGTGAAGGCTGTGGCAGAAGTCAAGTCCACCGGCCTGGAGTGGAGTCTGGCATGACACAGTTGGAAGGCCGGGCACAGCCTCTCCAACTAACCGGTAGGCCATGCCTCTCGAGTAGTTGCACAGGCTGGGCCCTGGAACTCGGTTCAGATGGTTCTCAGTCTGGGAAAGCTGAGTCCCAGTCCAGGCAGCCGCAGCCTCCAGAAAGTAACAAAAGGGAGGAGGCCACAGCATTCCACACATTCAAAAGGCACTTGAACGCAACGATAGCTCTGTAAAGAGCACATGCTGCCAACCCAGTGCTCATTGAAGAAGAAGGGGAGGAGCAGCCATGGTCAGCTGCTCCGCCAGCTGCAGCCATGGCAGTGCGGTTGGAAGTGAGGTGGTACTGGGCTGGGGTGATCAGGGGAGAAGCTAACTTACCGGGTGGGAACAGGTGTTGGCAACAGGCGGACTCATCTGGTGATTGGTGAGCACACACTGATCAGACTCTGCAGCATCGCTAGGCGAGAGAGAGGGAGAGAGAGAGAGAGAGAGAGAGAGAGAGAGAGAGAGAGAGAGAGAGAGAGAGAGAGAGAGAGAGAGAGAGAGAGAGAGTAGATAATAGGACAGTAGTATAGGCGGTCACATATTGATGAGCAGAGGCAAGACGTTGGGCTTTCGTAAACTAGAGACTTCAGTGTCAGCCTTCCTCATTTACTTCTGACTTTGCTCATATATGCTGGTTCTGCTTTGAGTCCGTTGCAGCTCGGAAAATTCGTATTGGTTCCTTGCAATAATTCCACACAGACTAGATCTGGAAAGCAGAACTACAAAAGCAAAACTGCCACCTGCTCCTCAGAACCAATACCAGTAGCGGTAACAGCAATAGATGTAACATGAGTGCTTATGTTGATGGTGGTACTACAGTAGTGGATCTAGTTGCACATAACACTTCACCTCCCACCCAGCACATACCCAGCTTCATGTACGTCCCCGAAGATTGAATTATACCTCCACATTGGCCGTGTACATCAGCTGCAGGTGTGGAACTCCCTGTGGTATTCTCTGTCCCAGCACTGCTCCGACTAAAGAAGTGGCGTGTGATAGAGGATCCCTGCTGCACACCCCGCCTTCCATGCCGCCGCCGTTTCGATGCCTTTGAAAGGATGTAGGCGATCGATACGCCCGCAAGTATGAAGATAATCACACCCCCGACAAGCAGTGAAATAAAAACTGCCGATGGGAGCCCTGAACAATGATGCAAGAGAAAGAAGACAGTAGAAACATCCATTCATCAAAACATCAAATGCATGTGCAAAAGGGCAAACTGCATTCAGACTGGACTCTTCCACACTTTTCATGCACATGAACAGCAGCACAACAAACTGGCGACATGCGBCCACACAGTACACAGAGATATGGCTTCCAGGTAAGTTCACTTCCACTGGCTCTGGCGACTGAGCGCCCAACATCCACTGTTCACACACCGGATCACCCTGGATATCCCACACACGACACTCCGCACACTCACGCAACACACACACACACTACTACTATAGCTATGGCAGCGCTAGCTGCCACTACCCTATCGCTATACTATGGCACACTGCAGACCTCCTCGCACAAGACGCTGAGGCAGCGCTAACGCATGGCTTCCGCAGGAATGAATGAATGGCTGTACGCAGCCTCTTGATTTATACTTCTGTGCCTCGTTGGTCTGCCCTGTTTCCCTGACCCACGATGTGCACAGTCCCAGACGGTACTTGCTTGACTGGACCGGACTGGTTGGACTGGGACTGCTGACTCTGCGTGGTGGACTTCCACCACTTGCCCACTGGCCTCTACCTAAACTGGGGCTGACTCCGAAAGGCCACTTCTAGAACTACCTGTTTGGCCTTTCGGTACTGTAGCAGCTACGACTCTACCCTTTCAGGTAAGTAGCAGCTACGACTTTGACCCTTCAGACTGGACTGTCTAGACTCCTACCCGACAGATCTACAGTCCGAATCCAGCTACTGCAAACTGGTGAATACCGTTTCAAAACGGCCAAAATTCGACCCATCCACACATCAAAGCCAAATACCAAATGCCCCTTCATCCGGCACTTGTAATGCCACAAGAAATTAACTCCAGAACTTCCCTATTGCAGAGCGATCTGAAACAAAAGAGACAACAGATGCACACGTGATTTCAAAGTTTAGACGTTAAAGAAAAGGCCAGTGTGGCTGCACCTGCATACATGGAAATTATCAACGAGATATCCATGGTAATGCACTCTCTCTCTCTCTCTCTCTCTCTCTCTCTCTATCTATCTATCTATCTATCTATCTATCTATCTATCTATCTATCTATCTATCTATCTATCTCTCTCTCTCTCTCTCTCCCTTCCCCCCCCCCCCTCTATGGTAATTGCTGTTATTTTCCTCATCTCAAAATCATCGGAAACCGTTTTCCATTTCCATGCTCCTTCAAAGGAACCAAACTCAATGTGTGGAATCCCTTGTTTACTTGGCAAGCTGAAGAGGGAGAGAGACACACAGAGATGGAGACTACATAGCAAGCGCTGAAACCATACTTGAGTGTGAAGGGAAAAGCTGACATCTCTCTCTCTCTCTCTCTCTCTGTGTTACATGCCCAGTTGGGCAATGTACATATATAACCGAGGCAATGTACATATATAACCGATAAAAAGGACTGAATGGACAATGCAGTGCTAGTGGAATCTCAACAAGCAGTGTACATCCTGATACATACAAAAATTGTGCTTTATAGCGCAGTGGAAGACTTAGATACAAGTCCTGAGCTGACCGGGACTGATCTCTCTCACGTAGTAGAAGACATCGTAGGGGAATGCTAGAATACCAACGACTAGCCCAATCAATGTCGCAATGCAGATCAAACATACATCATCCTTATCACAAGGTGTGAAGGGGCCTGGCACTACACACAGGAAGAATGCGCCAGGTCCGGATCATGCACAGACGAAGATGAGGGAATCAGACGAAGAAGAGGGGGGGCGAGATGGGAATGTCGTCAACACCAAGTCTTCGTTACAAGTCCCAAATAATCCCTCGTCAGATGTCTGAAGCCCAATGTCGACTCTGCACCAAATGTCGCCAATCCCGCTCTCTCGTAGTCTGCTGATGCAGTGAAGTCAGGTAGCGAGAGGGTGTGAGGAAGATAGTGGACTGAGAAGAGGAAGAAGAAGAACTCTCTCTCTCTCTCATGTGCCAGGTACTAACCTGTGAAGATGGCGCTGTGCTGCAGGTACCTCGAAGACGAAGGTGGAGCTATGGCGCTGCAGGTAAGTCTCCCTGGCCTCCGCCCAATCTCYCTCTCTCTCTCTCTCTCTCTCTCTCTCTCTCTCTCTCCAGTACTACTCTAGCTCCTATTAGCGCCCAGCGCTGAAGACTACTGCTAACGCTACTACTACTACTGCAGCGCTCCTCCAGAGTGCTGCTGCCGAATCCGGAAGACCACCTCCTGCCTCCGGAACTGCACATGAAGTGCCTGGGAAGTCCCTATGACACTACTTGCAGCATGCAGGGCGGGCCAGTCCTATATAGTGCTGGCCCGTCCACGAGGCTGCTCTTGCCATTGCCAAAACGTGCCAGACCCTGGCGTTGAAGCTCAACCAAGGGTTGTCTTGAAAACAGGCCCAAAATGGCCTGTGCTAAAACCCTGGTCTGGTGCCTGAGTTTCAGGGCAGGTCGATCTTATGAGGGCCTGAAAATGGCCCTCCGTTTCAGGCTGAAAAGACTCAGGACTGGGAAGGCCCTGTTTTAGGCTGAAACGACACAGGGCCTGTAGGCCCTCGTTTTCAGGCTTTCAGACTGAAACGACACAGGGCCTGTAGGCCCTTGTTTTCAAGCTTTCAGGCTGAAAACGACATGGGCCTGAAAATGGCCCGTGCAGCCTGTTGCAGGCGCAGTATGTAACACCCGCCCCTCCTTATGAAGTCAAGCCGGGTCGAGCGCGAAGCTGACGATCTGAAGGTGGAACCTGGACGTGGGTGCGACGTGGAGCCAAAGATACCGGCTTGCCTTGCATCTTGCGTTCGTAGTGTGCGAGAACATCTGGAGCTGTTGCTTGAGTTCCGCACGGGTCAACCATCGGTCAGCTTTGTGAGTGCAGTACGCAAAGTGTACCAAGTACTCGGTTCGCCTGTTGCCGTAGCGTCGCTGGGAGATGATGTCGCCAACCTCTTGAAAACCGTCCATAGAGGGTGGGTCTTGCGATCGTCGCCCGGGAAAATCGTCATGTTCCACTGGCATGTAAAGAGCCAACTTGGAGCAATGAAAGACCGGGTAGACGGCCAAGTGGGCGGGCACCTGAATGGTGAAGGAAGGTCCTTCGGGTTTGGTGAGGACAAAAGGCATGACCACCAACTCAAAATGCCCATACTGTGTCTTGAACGCGGATTTATAGCGATCGTTCGGCCGGATCGAAATCTGATGATATCCCCACTTCTCGCTCAAGAAGATCGTCGATACGCGGAAGAGGCCCCGCATTCTTGACGGTTTGCGTGTTGAGCTTGCCGTAGTCGACGCACAATCATAGATCCTTGTTCTTCTTCCGTACGAAAAGAACTAGCGCTCTATATGGGGAGCTACTAGGGCGGACCCAGCCCTTGTCCAACAGATCATCGAGTTGCGCGCGGAGGACTGTAAGCTCCTCCTCACTCATGCGATAAATGCAACCTTTCGGCGGCACGACACCGGCCTCAAGAATGATCTTGTGAGAGATCGGCCGATCCGGCACCACACCGGTAGGTGACTCGAAGATGCCGGTGAACTTGTCAAGCAACCGCACCACACGAGAGTCTGAAGACAAGTCCGTAGGTGAAGAGTAGGCTACCACAAGGGTCCGTAGGAAACATAGGCCTATCTCCTCGCGCTGCTCGTAACGCAAGTAGCCAGAAATGACTTGGCCGTCACCACTTGGCACCGAATCAAAGGGTGCGGAAGAGGAATAGTACACGGCACTTCGGTAGCGAAGGCGTCCCAAGCGGTAAGAGTCCGCCGGTGGAAGTTGACCGTGTGATCCGCACTTTCGAGCCAAGGCATTCCCAAAATACCGTCGAAGTTCATGTCCAAAACGTCGAACATCACCGGTTCGCATGCATGAGGTGCGAAATACACTGGTACGTCCTCGATTAAGTTGTCGATAAGTTGCTGAGTCCTTCTGTCCGCCAACTTGATCGCCGTGGGGTTTGCCTTCCTTCGAACTTGTGTGCCAAGGCCAGCCCTTTGCATAAAGGCTTGGCTCATGAAATTGCGAGCCGCGTCGCTATCCAGCAAAGCGCTGCAGGGCTCTTGCCCAACTTGGATGCGGACATAGAGGAGTGGTGCGTTGTTGTCATCGTACGGCTGCTTGCGAAACTCGTGGGCCACCTTGGTAACAAACGCAAAGATGTCCCCCACCGCGACTTCATCATCCGTCGGCGACGTTGGTGGTGCATAGAAGGATAAGGACGTGTGAAGATGAGCGCATATGCTGCGCATTGTGGTCCCGGCAAGCGGCCTGTGGTCGGGAGAGGAAGCCATGTGAAATCCTCCGACGTGAGCGGGTCAAATCCAAGACCTCTATGTTGAACTCGTGTCCCGAATCCCGTGAAGAACCACTTAAAGACGATAAGTCGCCGCTGCCGGACGGAGAAGATCCCGCACACACGTCTTGTCCTTGAGCATGAGTACCCAGCGTAGGAACGAGCTGGGCAGCATAGTCCTCATAAGAATATAGAAGAGGACTATCGACTTCCGCATGTGCCTTGGAAGGAAGGGCGGTCACCCGCGAAGCGATCGGTTCTGAAGGCGTCGAGAGTGTCGTTAACTTACTCCCAACGGTGCTTAGTTTCCCGATTTGCCTTTGCCTTTCGACGGGCAGCCCACTGTCTTGTGGAGATCGCTGTTACACCACAAACAATAGTGGAATATCGTGCATGCCTTGTACGTCTGTTCGGAGAGACTGTAGTGGGACCATGGGGCTTGAGCTGCTGCGCCGGGCCCGGGGATAGATGCGGTGTTTGTCTTCGTCTTGCCGCGTCATCGGCCTTTGCCGGGGCGGCCACCGTCCCGGGCGGTTGCGGGTCTGTCCCCTTCATTGGCAGACACGACCTCGCTAGATTGGTCGGTTGGTGTTGTCGCCGCGACCAGGGCCACTTTTGGCCGATGCTGATCTCTGCTCAGGCCTGCCGTAGACGAACAGTGGAGGTTCTCGGCCTCCTTGTTTGTGACAATGATTTGCGC